AGAATAGATTTTTTAATTTCCATACCTCAACTGAAGCTACATCAGACCTACACATGAGTGAAACAGTGAAAATGTCATAAACACCTGTAAACTGACGGCACTTGCTAAATCATCTGGGTCACCTCAGAACATAGCAAAAATGTTAACATATTTCACCAGTTACCATAATGGTTACATGGCTAAAGGAGTGACATTTAAGCAGCATTGAGCTGTTGGTTTCAGGTCGTTTCTCATCCTGCCCCCTTTCTTCCTCAGCGTCAACAACAACAACAAGGTTTCGATGTCATGTGGCAACACCAAGAAGGCCAGCATCTTGTTGGTGCGGAAGCTCTACACTCTGATGCAGAACCTGGGTCCTCTGCCTGACAATGTGTGCCTCAACATGAAGCTGGCTTACTATGAAAATGGTAACACACACAAACACACCATAGTTATGATTTTCTACAAATGCAACATCATTCAAACTGAGCAAAAGATTTTGAAGCCTTGCTCATGTTTAATATTCCAACGACTTAATGACCTAATGTCATGGCCTGCACTGCTTGAACTCTTCATCTTTGCTCAGAGCTTGTATGCATTTGAGTCACATTTTAGGCATTTTGCTGACGCTCTAATCTGACTGTAGTGTGTATCTAAAGGTTCAGTGTATTGCTGTAGGGCAGTCTGTCTGTCTTGGGAAACCAGAAGAGAGAGAAAAGTTTCACAATGCAGAAATACAAGTCAGACACAAAATTGAAAAAAACAAACATTTGTATTTGCACAATGTTGCAACTGCAGCCAACTTTAAAAAGGAAAAAAGACATCTTTTACTTTCCATTTTTATTATTTGAGATCAGTTTGAGACTGATCTTGTCTGTTTATCACAAAGTTTATCACAAAATAATTTTGCTGAGATTCACCAAACGCCATGTTGCTGCATTATCGGTCTTTGTTTCCCAGATTTAAAGTGTTGTAGAGATGCATGTACAGTGTTTGTTCCATGTCTTCAGGTATAGTAATGTCACAGTGTGTCTTAACTCTGCAGACCAGAGCACAACGGCATAAGTATGTCTGCCTGTTTTATTTCTTTATTTGTAAAATTGGGCAGAATTTGCCTAAATGAGAGTGTGTGTGTGCAGGGTTGGGATTCAGCCTTTTAGAATTCACAGACATGCTCTCTTGGTCAGGTTTTGTTTGTCTCTGTCTCACTGTTTGTTTCCCTGTCTGTGTGTTTGTGTGTTTTCCAGTCACTCCTCAGGACTACCAGCCGCCAGGCTTCAAGGAGGCTGACGGCGACACCGTGGAGTTTGAGAAGGAGCCGGTCAAACTCACCATGGGCGAGGTGGTCACTCCCTTCCACACTCTGAAGTTGGACATGGCCACAGAGAGACAGAGACTGGAGCAGGTGAATGAAAGGGAGCATGAAACAGAGCCTTTGTCTCCTTATCAACAAGGTTTGCAGCGGTCAGCACTTCTGGGAGCTGCTTTTTGATTGACAGCTGCGCATGTTGCTTAATGTCTGTAGGTGGAGGAGAGAGTTCATGTGACGGAGAAGTGGACTCTGAAGATGGAGGAGGATGGTATCCTGTCGCAGGTCAGCACACAAACAGGCTTGTTTACACTCAGCAGTACAAAGTGATCATTGTAATCAAATAATCAGGAAAGGGCTTAGAAACCAAATAAATGAGGACTCATATAGATCTGGGAATTGATTGAATATATAATGCCTCTGAACTCTCAAATAAGACAATATTATTTCTACATTTAGTGCTAAATGTGTGTAACATGTAGGAGGCTCTAGACTTAGACTTAGAGACTTAGACTTCTCTTTATT